GCTATAGAACAAGGTGCTCATGAATGGATGGGCTGAGGACAGATATACAATTCCAGCTGTTTGCTGAGATCTAACTTCACCCTGATCCTCCCCTTCATCCCAGGTGGTTTTCTCCAGCTAGCTATAGCACAGCTCCCACAGGGCAATTTCTGGTGTTTTGTGCTTGCTTGTTTGTTTGTTTGGTTTTGGTTTTTTGAGACAGGGTTTCTCTAGCTTTGGAGCCTGTCCTGGAACTAGCTGTTGTAGACCAGGCTGACCTCAAACTCACAGAGATCCACCTGCCTCTGCCTCCCGAGTGCTGGGATTAAAGGCATGCGCCACCACCGCCCAGCAATTTCTGGTGTTTTGAGACAAGAGTTTTCTGTGTAGTCCGAGCTGGCCTGGTGCTCACTGTGCAGCACAAGCTGGCATCAAACTCATAGCAGTCCTTTTGCCTTAGCCTCCAAGTGCTATGCTCAGCCCATTGGGCAACTTTTTCCTTGCTGTAAGCAAATACCAGTCCCACCTGCCCTGAATACAGTGTTAGTCACCTTAATTAAACTCTGAATGCTCCCCAATCTACCTTCTCCCTTTCCTCCCAGCAGCAGCTACTGAGTGCTCTTCTCTTGCCAGACCCAGAGCTGGGCTCTTGGGTGTAGTTTACAGTCTGCCTTCCCAGGCCTCATCCTGTCCTGGAAGTGGCAACAGGTAGAACCTGAATAGGCTCACTTTGGGCCAGTCACTACAACTCTTCAGAGTTTGTTCTCTCGGTAAAGTGGGTTTTATCCCAGCAGCCACCCTGAGATACCCCGAGAAGGCTGTTGGGGTGGAATGAGCTCGCAGTGAATGTACTCTCAGGGTTACCAGCGTCAGCAGCGTCTCCAGCTTCCCATACGCACCCATCCAATAGCTGTCGTCAGGAGGGCTTTCTCTCTTCTTTTTCATGTTATCTATTGGAAAGGCAGGCATGCTGCCACATGTGTGAAGGTCAGGACAACTTGTGGGAATCAGCCCACCTCTGCTATATAGTTCCTGGGATTACCTGCTGGTTGTCTTGCAACCCAGGAATGCACATGCCCGTATCCCCACCCCCATTTTCTCTTTTAAGACAAGGTTTCTCTGTGTAACTCTGGCTCTGTAGACCAGACTGGTCTCGAATTCAGAGATCCGCCTGCCTCTGCCTCCCAAGTGCTGAGATTAAAGGCATGTGCCACCATGCCTTTCATTCTTCATGCCCACCCAGGCATTCTGGGAGTTGGGTGCTCTCCCACTGTTAGCTGAGAGCCTAGGTTGACAATCTGTCATTCCTAACACATACCCCTCATCCAGTGAGGAAGTTGCAATAGGAATCCTCAGGCTCCTTCCTGCTCATCACCGCCTCTGGACAGAAGGAAAGAAGCCACTGAAACGTGGGGAATTCCCCATTCCTACTAGAACAGCCCAGAGATTGTATCCTGCCTTCTGTTGTGCGTGTGTTTGTAGGGAGACAAGGAAAGGTCATTCATGCTAGTCTCAGACCCAGCGGTATGGGCATAGTGCCCCAGACGAGCCACCTTTCTGCACGTGTAGCCAGGTCAAGGTCCTCCCAGAGGCTGAGGGCTTCAGATCTCAGTTCCATGGAATTCTATAGTTGTTACTGCGTCTACTCACGTCCACTTCCCCCTGCAGATGACCTGGATGGACTTCTGAGTGAACTCCCTGAGGACTTCTTCTCTGATCCCAGTTGGGGCTGTCTCAAGACTGGACACCCACCATGAGCTGGCAGTCTCTGTCCCCAGAGAAGCTCTAGGTGCATCTGGTCACATCCAAGGGAGACAGAGCCGGTGCAGCTGGAGACTAGACAAGGTCATGGTCTGCTGCCTCCTCATGGCACTTTCCTGAAAGCCCCAGTGATGAGCAGTGTGCTGCTGCAGCCTGACAGCTTCCTCTGTGTGGACATCCTGGAAATCTGAACAAGCCGAGCTCCAGCCTCCCTGGAAAAGTGTGACCCTCCCACCTCATCTAAACTTTAGGGATGTTGGGCCTGGTTTTCTTGTCCCTTTACTCTTCAGTCCCTTGATAGCTGCAGAGCCCAGAGGAGCCATGCCATAGCAAAGGTGACCTAAGGCTATAGCCCGCGCCCTCAAGGGTGATGGTGGAGTGCAGGCTATTGTATCTGGTTCTGAAATAAAGCAGCCCTTCCTCATCTGCCACCCCCTCCTTCCCACACCTACTTCTCCATTCTCTGCTGGCCAGAGCAGTCAAGCTCCAGCAAGGCAGAGCAAACATTCACTGTGTGTGTGTTTGTGTGTGTGTGTGTGGTGTGTATACACGTACGTATATACACTTTTACCCCCTTGCCTCCCTTCTCCCCCTCTGCTTCTCTTTTTCTTTTTTTAATTTTATTTTATGTGTATGGGTGTTTTGCCTGCATATATGTCTCTGTGCCAACTATGTATGCCTAGTGTCCTTGGGGGCCAGAAGAGGGCTTTAGATCCCTTTGGACTAGAATTGCTAGTGGTTGTGACCAGGCTGGCCTCGAACTCGTAGAGATCCTCCTGTCTCTGCCTCCTGAGTGCTAGGATTAAAGGTGTGTGCCACCAGCTCTTCCCTTTGTTCTGTCCCGTCCACCCGGCTAGCTTACACTGTAAATAATCACACAGAAACTGTATTCATTTGAACACTGACTGGCCCATTAGCTCTAACTTCTTATTGGCTAATTCTTGCATCTAAATTTAACCCATTTCTGTTAATCTGTGTATTGCCACGTGACTGTGACTCACCGACAAGATTCTAACTAGCATCCGTCTCAGGCAGGAGACCCATGGCGTCTGCCACTCTGCCCTTCTCAGCATTCAGTTTTGTCTACTCCACCTACCTAAGTTCTGTCCTATCAACTAGGCCAAGGCAGTTTCTTTATTCATTAACCAATGAAAGCAACACATGAACAGAAGAACCTCCTACAACATCCCTTCCTTCCTTCCTTCCTTTCCTTCTTTCTTTCTTTCTTTCTTTTTCTTTCTTTCTTTTCTTCATAGCACTGTATCTAGACTGACCTCAAATTTTACATCAGTCTGGCCTTAAACTCATGGTCTTCCTGTCTCTGATCCCTGATGCTGGTATTACAGGCATGTGCCATGGCGCCTGCTCCATTGATCTCAGTGAACCAATATTGCTACGTTATCATTAGCTATACTCTACTTTCTCAGGTTTGCTGGGTTTCTCCTCTGTCCTCTTCCTCTCTTTCCCTCTCTCTCCTTTTCTCTCTCTCCCTCTCTCTGAATCCACTTTAGGATCTCGAAACTCCTCTTGGTTTTGGCAGCTTCTCAGGCTTGTCTTGGTTTGGATGCCCTCAATGATGCTGAGAAATATCAGTCAGACTTTTTTGTTTTAGATTATTTATTTATTTATGGTTTTTTGGGACAGGGTCTCTCTCCATGTGACCCTGGCTGTCCTGGACCTCACCCTGTAGACCAGGCTGGCCTTGAACTCACAGAGATCCGCCTGCCTCTGCATCGCGTGTGTCACTACACCCAGCTTAGATTTATTTTTATTATTCTTATTTGTGTGTGTGAGTGTGCACACACGCCATCTGCATGTGAACGCCTGCAGAGTTAGAAGACAGTATAGAAACCCTAATGTGTGGGTGCCCGGACTCTGCTGAGCCATCTCTTTAGCCGCGAGTTGAGCATCTTGTAAGATGTCTCTGGGAATCTGTTAGTAGGATAGATGCCATTCTCTTGACTTTTGTCTGGCAGTGCTGGGAATTGATCCTAGCCTCTGCTCCATCCTCCTTTGTTATGTTGGTTTGTTTGTTTTGATCTTTTTATTTTGAGGCAAGATATCACTAAGTTACCTGCTCTGGCCTTGAATTTGGCAATCCTCCTGCCCCAGCCTCCCAGAGAGCTAGGTCTACAGTTTTGTGTCCTCAGGCCTAGCTTCTCCCCTCCTATCAGGATATCCATGGGCCTGGGTCACCTTAACTGAGGAAATGTCTGTTAGGATTATTCTTTGTAAAATGTTCCCTCCCTCTACCCTGTACTGTTTGGAAGGCAGTCTGATGGTGTGCAGCTAACCAAGCATGAAGGAGTTCTGTTCTCCTAAGGGCAGATCTCATATCGACTAGGCTGAGTTCTGTGTGGCTGTCAGCTTCTTCACCTGTTCATCGTTTATATTAATACAGACCCGGTTCTTCATTTTACCCTTTGGACTGTACTCTGATGCAGCTTTGTTTCTTTTGTTGCTTGGGATCCCCAGTGCTCTTCTCAGCACCAGCTCTCAGCCCACAATTGACAAGAGCCTGGGTGGGGTAGAAAAGGTCCCAGTGTTCAAGCTGCCGACCCGACCCGTTATCCTTCCCAGAATGAAGGGCAGAAAGGAAGCAGGCTGAAGAGGTCCATTTGACGGGCAGCGCCCCCTGCCTCAGCTGAGTGACTAGGAGTGAAGGCTCCAGGCTCGCACTGCTCGGAGACAGATCCCACGAATCTAGTCACGGATGGGACTGTAAGCAGCTGGAGAGCTGCTGGCTGTAGGGAACCTTGGTCCAAAAGGCTGTTGTGCTGTAGGCCAGAGCAGCACAGGCCTTGTTTTCTGTCCCCTTGCATTTTCACGGCCTCCTCTTCTGCCTAACGCTGCTTCCATCTTAGGCCTGGGCCAGGCCCATCTAGGTGTTTGCACTGGGACAGCTCCAAGCCCTGGTCACCCTGTCCAGTCTCAAGCCCCAACTGTTTCAGATCCTAGTTTCTTGGGTGCTTCATTGTTCCCCAGACTAAACTCCCAGGAAGCAGACTGAACACCCTGTTCCCTCCAGTTCAATTTCTGGCCCCCTGTGGACCCATGGGCAGGCCTCCTCTGCCTCAGAAGCTAATGATAAAACCTACACACTGGTATCTCTGGGGGACAAAGCTATAGTCAGCACTTTCAGTCTTGTGAGGCAAGAAGGCAGAGGTTAGGCTCTGACTGTTGTATGCCTTAGGGGATAAAGGGACACCCACCACTTTATCCCTTTTTGGCCCCACCTTGCTTTGCCAGATTCCCAACCCTGGGAACTGAGCTGTGGGTGCTCAGCCAGGTTGTCAGCAGGGCAATTAAAATACTGTATGGCTTCCAATAGGATTAATCACAGCTGCATCCATAGAGGGGCCTTTCTCTGAGGATCTTCAAACCCTCTTTGGGCATGATCTCATTCATTTCTGGGATCCCCCACCCTGGAACCCTACCAAGAAGCTGGGGCCCGGCAGAGAATGAGCGGAGGATGAGGGCAATGAATGTCGGAAAAAGCCCAGGTTGCTGCCACCCACCTGGGCAGATAGAGGAGCGTTTGATCCGGCAGAGAATAGGGACCTTCATTCAGTGTTCAGGAGAGGCCAGCCTGCCGTGAGCCAGGTGCTCCTAAAACACTATGTCAGGACTGCTCAAGCCAGGGCCTGCCTGCCCTGGAGCCCACATCCAGCTTGGTAGAGTGATCTCTCTGGGATTGTGGCATGCGGACTTGGCTAAGCCCACCCTTTAGAAGTTGAGTAGCTGTTCCTGCAGGTTGCCTTGGATTTCAAGCCACTGGGACAGCCAGCAGGAAAGGGTGAAGAAACTGGCTAGGATGCCACGTGGTGTGTGTGGGGCCAGACCCAGGATTTCCGAGGAAGAGCCTGAGCCAGAATGCACAAGTTTTTCAGGAAATGACCTTTTGGGACAGGCGATTCTGGCAGGCAGCAGAAGGTCATGTGGTCCAAGAAAGAGACTCACAGGCTGGCTTGATCCAGGTTGAAGGTTTTGAGGACCCGAACTGAAGCTGGCGACAGAGTGTGGGAGAGACAGATCCTGTGTGGGCCTATGGCCAGGAGGAAATGAAAGACACAGAGAAGGGGGAGGTTGCTGGGAAGTCACGGTGGAAGCGGGCAGAAGGAGCCAGGAGGAACCCGCCTCGCACTGTTGAGCTACCGGCCCGCCAGCAGCCCAGGAGGCAGAGGCTGGCGGACATCCCTCCTCCCTCCCTTCTCCACCAGACGGTCGGACCATCTGGTGTGCTTTCATAGCCTCGTTCCTCCCCCTAGAGGCTCTGGGAAGCACAGCCACTTTCCCTGAAAGGTGAATGGGTGAACAGTATGAAGGTTCCCAGTTCCAAGGTCAACCCCTTGGCACACGGCAAGCAGACGAGTGAGTCCTTTTAGAAAACAGAAAGAAAAACCGGTCACTGAAGGTAGAAACCATGTCCCGCTTGGGCGTGAGGGGATAGAAGAGGCTCACCCAACAGTCTACCCACATGGTAGAGGCCCCTAGAGCAAAGTGCCTAAAGTCTGGGCTACTGGAGTCCTTGCCCCACCCTCACAAGCTCTGTGATTTAAACTGGGTGGTGGTGTTTAATCCCAGCACTCGGGAGGCAGAAGCAGGCGGATCTCTGTGAATTTGAGGCCAGCCTGATCTACAGAGTGAGTTCCAGGACACACAGAAACACTTGTCTCAAAGAAAAAAGAAAAGAAAGCAAAAATAAGCTATGTGATCTTGAGCCAGTAATTTTACCTTGTTAAGTCTAAGATCCTTAAGTCTGCTGAACTGAAACACTTAGCGTGGCCATCTCATTTCCTGACCACATCTGCTGCATTACCTCATTGACTGGTTGTCGGAGTAGAGGTGGATGTGAGATCGACTGAAATTCTCCAGAGTGTGGTACATACTTCAGTGAGTGCTGTTCTTTCAAATTCAGGAAGAGTGGTTTCGCTTCTCAGTATCTCCCCCACTTTCCCAGCCAGCATGGCAGAGGCTGCAGGACCCTGGTCCTCCCCCTGCCCTGTCCTGCCCATCCATCTCATGGTTGACTGCTTGGACTAGAAGACTCAAGAGAAGTGGGGTCCGGGAGTGACCTTGGCTGAGGACCTGCTGGCCAATGGAAGGGTACCAGTAGGGGTAAGGGCTGACCCAATACCCGGCTGCATTAGGATCATGACTCTAGGCAAACTGTTTACAATGCAGTGAGGGGCCTATTTATAGCCTCAGCTGCTTCTCCAGTTTACCAGGAGGGGGGCAGGGTGACTCCCCAGAGCAAGGGTGCTAGCTGGGACAAGGAACAATCTCTGCCTAGGCGGTACTGCCCAGACCCCTGAACCGCTCATGGCAGGGGAGAGCTTCCCTTTCACGTCCTCCACTCTGCGCGCTCTCCGCCTACAGAGAGAGTGGCTGGAATGGGAGGACAGGAGGCGGGCTGCCGCTCGGCAGTGTCAAAGCCAGAGGTACCTCTCTAGTCCCCAGGCACGACTCACGAGGCCGCGTCGCTCCTGCCGAGACCCAGCTGTCCACAATGCCCTGTTCTCTGGGGACCTACAGCAGGTTCAAATCCTGTTCCAAGATGAAGAGGCTGCCAACATGATTGTGGAGACTGTGAGCAACCAGCTGGCCTGGTCAGCAGAACAGGGTAAGGAGTACCACCCAGGAGGGCAGAAGAGGGGAGAAGTGTGGGGGTGGGGAAGGGAAGAGTCCAGACCCTACTTCTCCTTAAAGACCCTAGAGTGGGCTACTCATCATAACCAGCCATGTTAGCTCCTTCCTCAACAGTTGAGGCCAAGTGTGAATTTGTTTGCTTGTGGTTATGAACAGGGTGTAGATCAGGCTGGCCTTAAACTCAGAGGTCGACCCACCTCTGCCTCCTGAATGCTGGGGTTAAAGGCGTGTGTCACCATACCTAGCCTCCAAAAGTTATGTTCTGATATAACACATATACAGATTGTAAGTGTTGGTTTTGGTTGTGTGTACTAGATTAATTATATAGGAATACTCATGCTTTTGATATGTATGTGTGTGTATACACACATATATATACATACATATATGTCCATGTTTTTCCTATGGTTTTCTCCTATAGAAGAGAATTTTTATGAAATCCATATGCAAATATTTTTACACCTATTGAAGCTGTGGGGTAGGGAGAAGACCCAAGCACCTCCTGCTGAACCCACTCACCAGTCCAGTTTCATTTTGGGGAGAGAGGACTGAGCCATAGTTTGAGTGCATATTAATAAGCATCATTTTTGCCGCTGTGCTCCAACCCAGAGCTTTTTAAATTTTGAGACAGACTCTTGCTAAGTAACCTAGGCTGGTTTTCAACTCACTCTGTAGCCCAGGCAGATTTGGAGCTAGTGATCCTTCTGCCTCAGCTTCAGAGTAACTGGAACCATGTGCTTGTCCCATCTCGTCCTGGTCAATTTATTATTGTCATTTGGTCTGAAACAGGATCTCTCTGTGTGGCCCAGGCTAGCCTGGAACTTAGGATCTTAATGGCTCATGCTCCTGGGTGATGAGCCTGCACCCATACACCACCATATCTGGCCACATGAGATATTTATTATAAGCTGACTTTTCTTTTATGTAATGTCTTTCCATGTCAGTAACCTTGAGTTCACAAGAAACCTGTACATAGATGCATATAACTACTCTCCAAATAGAATGGTAGATTTGGGTCCTTTCCCCTTTAAAAAAAAAGTATTTATTTATTTGTTTGTTTGTTTGTTTGATTGGTTGGTTTGATTTGGTTTTTCAAGACAGGGTTTCTCTGTGTAGTCTTGACTATCCTGGAACTCCCTGTGTAGAGCAGGCTGGCCTCTAACTCACAGAGATCCACCTTCCTCTGCCTCCTCTAATGCTGGGATTAAAGGCGTGTGCACCACCACCCATCTTAAAAAAAAATGTTGTTATTGAGACTTGGCCTTTCTAATGTACAAATGGTATCTTATTTTTCAGCCGTAAAAATTCTTCAGTGTTAGCTAGGTAGTGCACTGGCCAAGTCTTTAATCCCCCACACACTCGTTAGAGCAGAGCATATAAAATCACCTTTAATCCCAGCACTCAGGAGGCACAGGCCTCTGTGAGGTCAAGGCCAGCCTGGTCTACAGAGCAAGTTCCAGGACACCAGGACTACCAGTGTGACCTTGTCTCAAATAACAACAAAACAAAAGATCACCTGGACCCGAAGGTGGGAGCACTCTGGTTGTGATGTCTGTCACCCCACCCCACCCACCCCCAGATCGTCAGAATGACTTGCCTGATCTAGCTGGCTGGAATGCTGTGTTCTTCCTCCTTTATCACTCCTTTATCACTCCTGCTTTCTGTGCATTCAGAGACCACTTTCCCCAATAGGAAACCAGCCCTTAGTCAAGGGCATACACGTAACTGCTCCCCTGCTAGAACCTCCAAATAAGCTCTCCAGATGATTGGCCTCACAGTGCTCTGGTGCCTGCTTCTCTCGGAGCCATCCCGCATCACTACACTCACTGTCCTTTATAACTTTTTTAGATTTGTCTTATTTCACGTGTATGACTGTTTTGCTTGTGTGTGTGTGTGTGTGTGTGTGTGTGTGTGTGTGTGTCTATACACCATGTGCATGTGTGGTGCCCATGGAGGACAGCAGAGGGCACTGGATTCCCCAAAACTGGAGTGACAGGCAGTTGTGAGCCCATGCTAGGGCTTCTCTGGGAACCAAACTCCAGTCTTCTGGAAGGGCATGAAGCATTATTAAGCCCTGAGCCATTTCTCCAGCCCCATTGCCCTCACTCAGTCTTTAATGAGCTCATAGCTGTCTCCTCCAAATCTTCTTTATCTGCCCAGGCAAACCCAGGCTTCATTGTCCTCTGCTCCCTCCCTGCATTTGCAGCCTTCCTGCATTCTGAAGCCTATTCTGTGTTTTCTTTTTTTTTTTTTCTTTTTGTTTCTGTTTGGTTTTAGGTTTTTTTGTTTTTGAGACAGGTTTTCTCTGTGTAACAGCCCTGGCTGTCCTGGATCTCACTTGGTAGACCAGGCTGGCCTTGAACTCATAGAGATCTACCTGCCTCTGCCTCCTGAGTGCTGACATTAAAGGCATGCACCACCACTGCCCAGCCACCTTTTCCCTTTTTGATTTTTTTCATTTTGATTGTTGATTGACTGATAATTGATTGGTTATGCTATTAAGCAATGGAAGGCAGAGCCCACTCATAGGCGAGTGAGACTTCCCAGCAAGCCATTCTCTGGTCCTCCATGCTACCTTAAGTAGAGTAGGATGAGGACCTTTATGTGTGTAACAGATTCCCTGGGATGCGTCCCAACTTAGCAAGTTTATCCAAGTTCACTGAATGCTTACCCGAGATACTTGTGAAAACTGACAAGAGATTGCTTCGACCTCAGCCCTTGGACCTGGGATTTCCCAGTCCTATGGACAAGGTTATGAGCCCAGGACAGTCAGGCACTGCAGACTGCAAGACCTGCTTACCTACCGTGATGGCACAATGACTCTATCAAGCCGTCTGGCTTTGTCCCCAAGAATACTCATCATCCCCCCAAATTGAACCTGGACTTAGTTTTATTCTTCAAAAACAAAAGCAAAATTTGCCTCACCCAAGATTCAGAGAAGCAGTGACCTTCCTTCCCGGCCATGCCCACATGTCCACTTCAACAGGACACACTATATCCTTTAAACAACTTCTTGACTATTCCGTTCAAAGCCAGCACCAATCGTCTGACCAATAGGCCCCTCTTTTCGTTCCACACCCCACTTCGAAACTCAGCTCCACACACACCTATGCATAGCTACCATCTCCAAACCCAAGACCAGATGTGAACAGAGAGCGCCACCGAACCCACTAGCCCCCCCAAAGACCCCAAGCTTCCTTCCTATCAAGGTTTGCCCCTTTGCCCTCTTCTGCCTTCGTGGTTTCGTAGAACTTTTCTAGGACACATAGTATGTGATATTTTCTGCCTCGTTTTCCAGTGTTGGGAGTATAGTGTTTGGTTATAGACGGACAAAGGATCTTCCAGTGTGGACCCCCAATTCAAGACTTGAGCGAACCCCTAGCCACAGGTCCAGCATGGTCAGTAAGCTAGAACTGGGGAAGGCCGGCATTCACTGCCAGCCATAGATGGCTTCTCTGTGCTGCCCTCCCACACAAAGTCCTACAGTAGTGCCTGTTCTCCTCAGGATTCTGGGTGCTGACTCCAAAGACCAAGCACACAGCACCTCTTACCATCGCCGTGGCCAGAGGCTACATAGACTGCGCCCGGCACCTTATCCTGCAGGGGGCTGATCTCGATGCCCGGATTGGAGGTCGTGCTGCCTTGCACGAGGCCTGTGCCCAAACCCAACCCGACTGTGTTCGGCTGCTGCTCACATTTGGTGCCAAGGCTAATGTGCTGTCTGAGGAGGGTATGACCCCCTTGCACCTCTGCACAGCTCCTGAGTCTTTGCAGTAGGTGCCTATGGCCTGGGGTGGTTTTGTGCTGGTGGGGGGATATATGTGTGTCTGTGTCCAGCTCACCTGCTTAGGAATAAGGGTGACTTGACTAAGCTTTGTTGTGTGTAAAGCACCTTATGCATTTATGTTTTCACACAGAGATAGAGGCCTCATTATTTCTTTTTTTAAAAGATTTATGTATGTATGTATGTATGTATATATGTATGTATTTAATGTGAACTAGTGTTTTGCCTGTATATATTCTATGTGAGGGTGTTGGATACTCTGGAACTGGAACTACAGACAATTGTGAGCTGCCATGTGGGTGCTGGGAATCGACCAGGGTCCTCTGGAAGAGCAGTCGGTGCTCTTAACCACTGAGCCATCTCTCCAGCCCTCATTGTTTCATTTCTGTGTATATGTGTGTGTGCATGTGTGTGCAGGTGCCTCCAGAGGCCAGAGGAGGCTGTCGGGTCTCCTGGAGTTGGAGTTACATCATGGTGTCTGACTTTCCTTCTACTTTGAAATAGAACCTATGTTTCTGAGGCTGGCCTCACACTCGTGATCTGCCTACCCCCCTGCTCTGCCTCCTGAGTATTGGTAGTACAGCTGCACACCACTATGCTCGGCTGTCTCCTCCCGCTTAATTCTTAAAATTGATTTTGTATTTGGTTTCTCTATATACCTGGCTGACCTGGAACTTGCCGTTTATGCCAGACTGACCTCGAAGTTTTGGTGATCCTCCTGCCTCTGCCTTCTCAGTGCTCAGGTTGCAGGTGTGTGCCATCACACCTGGTTCCCACTTATTTTTATTTAGTTTTGTTTTGGACAGAATCTCATGTAACTTGGAAGAGAATGACCTTAAACTCATGACCCTCCTACCGCCACCTCCTAAGTGCTGGGAATATAGATATGCACCACCATGCTCAGAAATCAAAACCAGGGCTATGTACATGCTGGGCAAGCACTCTCTTAACTGAGTAATATCCTTAACTGTTTTCTGTTTGTTTGTTTGTTTTTTGTTTGTTTGTTTGTTTTTCAAGACAGGGTCTCTCTGTATCTTTAGAGCCTGTCCTGGAACTTGTTCTGTAGATCAGAGCTGGCCTTGAACTCGCAGAGATCCGCCTGCCTCTGCCTCCCAAGTGCTGGGATTAAAGGCATGCGCCACCACTGCTCAGCTTTTCCTTAACCCTTTTTTATTGTTGTTTGCTTGTTGGCAGTAGAGTTTCACTGTAGTTCAGGCTGGCCTCTAACCCCTTTTTTTTTCTTTTTTCTTTTTTGGTTTTTTGAGACAGAGTTTCTCTGTGTAGCCTTGGCTGTCATAGAACTAGCTCTGTAGACCAGGCTGGCCAACTCACAGAGATCTACTGCCAGTGCCCAGTTTGGGCAGTCTTCTGATCACTGGGATCACAAGCATGACCCACCACAGTCAGTGCCTTTTCACTTTTCTCGGGTCAGCTGTCTGGGACTCCCTGCACGGTGGCACTTACTCTTTTACAGATCAGTTCAACAAACTCAGCTGGCAGGTAAGGACTCAGGACAGACAGCCAGAGACCCATTCCACTTGCTGTAGATCAGTGATATACCTCAAAGGAATCTAAATTTGCCAGCCTTACTCAGGAGGCTGAGGCAGGAGGATTGCTAGTCTGGTCTACATAGCTAGTACCTGGCCAGCCTGGGCCAGTGGAACCCTGTCTCAATAAACAAAATTACCAGCCCTTTCCCTGGTTCTTAGGATATAACTGAAGCTCTAGGTAACTGCACACAAGTGTCTTTCCACTGTGTTTGTCCTTTTGAATATAACGAGAAGGGTCATTTCCCGGAGCCCTGCGGTGTGAGCTTTTTCAAGTGCTTCTATATATTCGATATTAGAAGTCAAAATATGGCAACAATTAGAATTTACTGCAGAATTAAACTCAGCAGTTTGTCAAAGGAGGTGTTTACTCAGGTCTTGACCACAGAGCCCTTATATCCATGATCTGTGCTGTATCTGGGGGAAGGATCTCCAATTATGGTTTCATTAACGTGATCAGCCCGTGCTGTTCCAGCCACTGCCATTGTCCCTTTCCAGTGTACATTACACTGGCTGGGCTGAGATGGCTCGGCTGTTTAAAGACTAGGCTCACAACCAAAACCAAATCACCATTGGTTTCATTTCATTGGCAATTTAGTTCGGCTTGTGTTCTGTCTCCGCGGTAGGTAACAGCACATTTGCTTACAGTGGTGTGCTGGCCTGTAATTTCTCCAGGAATTCAGAGACTGTGAAGAGGTTCCCTCTAAAATGTTCTGTTAGGTTTTGCTTGTTTTCTCTAAGGGAAAGCAGAGTAGGGAGGTCCTTGGATGCTTTTCTGGACCCAGTGAACACAGCCTGTTTGGGAAGAGTAGTGTCGTCTTTTTTGCACACACCCTTTAATATTTATTCTACGTGGCATAGTGCACACAGGAGTAGGTTTCCCAAATCTTGCCCTATCAAAATGTTAGGAGATCAGGAGCGTGGGTCGTCGTGACTCAGTTGGGAGGGTACTTGCCTCCAAATATGCGTGGGGCTTTGGCTTTGATTCCTGTGCCACAGAAACTGAGCATGGTGGTGGACGCCTGGGAAAGAGGCCGAAGGATCGGGAGTTCAAGGTCGTTCTCTCCTGCAGTGAGTCTGACGTCAGAAGCAGGGCGCTGCTCAGCGATTGCTTGCTTAGCTTGCCTGGGTTTCACGCCTAGCACGAAGTAAGTGCGTCAGTTCAATTCAGGATGGACTCTCCAGATTCTGCCACTCTTCATTAATGCTGTGTGTGTTCTTGGCTGCTGTACTAGACTGTTTTGGGCTTAACTTTTTCATATGAAAATTGAAGGTGCTTCTGACGGCTTCTACTGGCCCCATAACCCCGGTGTTTGTAATGCAGCTTCTGAGACACTATGGTGGCCAGGCCTCAGGTAGAGATGTGGGAAGGAAATGGGTGGTGATAGCGGACCTTAGGGTCCTCAGGATTTGCCCGGGCCTTGCACCCTCTTCTTAGGTGTGCCAAGTTGCTGCTAGAGGCTGGAGCATCTGTGAATGAGGCATCACGGGAGAGCGAAGTCACGCCCCTGCATGTGGCTGCAGCTCGCGGCCTGGAGCAACACGTGGCTCTCTACCTGGAGAATGGCGCAGACGTGAGCCTGCGCACCAGCCAGGGCGAGACTGCACTGAATGCAGCCTGTGCTGGCGCAGAGGGGCCGAGTAGCTGCCGACAGCACGAGGCAGCAGCGCGACGTCTCTTGGAAGCCGGGGCTGATCCCAGGGCTTCCGGTCTCAAGCGCCACACGCCACTGCACAACGCCTGTGCTAATGGCTGCGGAGGCCTGGCCGAGCTGCTGCTGCGCCACGGAGCCAGAGTTGGCGTCACCAATGGGGCTGGCCACACACCCATGGACTGCGCACTGCAGGCGGTACAGGATGCCCCTAACTGGGAGCCCGAGGTCCTCTTTGCAGCACTGCTGGACTATGGGGCCCAGCCCGTTCACCCTGAGGTGCGCTGGGAGGACCTGAGGAAGGTGCCAACTAGAGGGGGAGCCTGGGACAGAACTTCACTTACTAAAAGGGCCTCCCTCGGTGACTGGAGGTCCACCCTCATCTTGACAGAGGGCATAGGCTAGCCAAAGGAAGAGTCAAGGAAACCGGGGCCAGAAGCTTAGGGCATGTGTGGATGGAGCAGACTGAGGCATGAGGGTGCGTGTGTGGCCAGCCTTGGGCTTTCCTTAGTTGGGGCAACATGGAACTCCTAGGCCCCTGCTTTAATTCCCAGATGCTGAAACACTGTGCCAACTTTCCTCGGGCCCTGGAAGTCCTCCTCAATGCCTATCCATGTGTTCCATCCTGTAACACCTGGGTGGACGCAGTGCTCCCGGAACTGTGGCAGGTATGTCTGCTCCAAGGGTGAAGCTTTTTTCTAGAGGGCTAGAGAGGTCAGAGGCCTCTCCTTTCAAGCTTCAAGACCAGCTTCAGAGAGGGAAGGTAAGCCATGAAACCCTGGGTTCCAGGCTTCTGTCCACAGCAGCCCACGCACATCTTTGATCTCCCACACTGCCCAGCCTCTTGCTGACAACCATTCATTTACCAGTCAGCTCTGATGCGGTGGGAATTCCGGAGTGGCAGTGGCCACGGACATGACTGAAAGCCAGTCCCCAATACCATGGTATTGGGTTATCAAACTCAGGGGTACTGGATCATCCAATCCTCCCTTCTGGCCTAGGAACACGAAGCCTTCTACAGATCAGCCCTAAGCATGGAAAACCAGCCAAGACGGCTGCAGCACCTGGCCCGCCTGGCTGTTCGTGCTCAGTTGGGTAGCAACTGTCGGCAGGCCACCACCCAACTCCCATTACCCCCACTGCTCAGAGACTACCTGCTGCTGTGTGTGGAGGGACAAATCCGGTGAGCCCCGAGCGGGCCGCTTCGACTTCCATCCGCTCCTACGCCCAGCGCGCTGAAAAGCCAACCACTGCCCCTTCCTTTGTGCTTCGCATGCCCTCCAGGCCCAGTTTGTCCCTCCACTGACATCTTAAGCCACCTGCTGATCTTCAGGCCATATCAGCCTGTCCCAACCCGCCACCCCCATACTTAAGCAGGTAGATGGCCTCTTTATCTACACAAGCTACAAACAAATGACCCTCAGTGCAGCTCTCCACTCGCCACCCATACGCCTATTCAGCCCTTCATGGTGACAGGCCCTTCCGTGGACTTGATAGCATATGCCTCTAACCCCAGTACTGGAGGCTGAGGGAGTAGATCTATGAGGTCAGCACTAGCAAGGTCTTGCGAGGAGGGTGTACCCTGCTTCTTTGCCTTCTTTCCAGCACAACTCTGGATAGAACTAAAAGAAAGGACTGCTGGGATTGTTGTTCCCCCAGCGCTAGGCACGGAACCCAGGGCTGGGTGCATGTTAAGCAAGTGTCCCACCACAGAATCCACCTCTGTCTCTTGATGAAACCCATTTCTTGAACGGATGCTAGAAACTTTTTTTTTTTTGGTTTGTTTGTTTTTTGAGACAGGGTTTCTCTATATAACGGCCCTAGCTGTCCTAGAATGTGCTTTGTAGAGTGGCCTAGAACTCACAGAGATCTGCCTGCTTTTGTCTCCTGAGTGCTGGAATTAAAGGCGTGTGCCGCCACCACCTGGCCACCTGAGACATTTCTGATGCGTTCTCCCTTAATTCCCCAAGTGTTGCATGGCATCTTAATTGGCAGTCTCTCTAGAATGGCTTCTGGGGCCCAGAAAGATGGAAAGCCATTCTCTCTTACTTCTTCTGGTCCTAGAGACAGAAAGGTGTGACCACTCACTTTTAGGAGGAAGCTTTTCAAGGCAAACCAGTTTTGTTTGTTTGTTTGTTTTGTTTTGTTTTTTTTGGGACAGGGTTTCTACAGTCCTGGCTGTCCTGGAATTCACTTTGTAGACCAGGCTGGCCTCAAACTCACAGAGATCTGCCTGCCTGTGCCTCGCAAGTGCTGGGATTAAAGGTGTGCACTACCACCACCCGGTTTGCAAACAGTTTTATGAATGCAAATAAATAATTTGTGCACAGAACCCACGTGTGGATATTGTGAGGCTTCAATGCGATGCGAGTTTCTATCAGGCCACGTTTATTCTCCTCCTTGTGGTCTTCTGGGGCTTCCACGTTTTCTGCCTTGAACAGGTGTTTCTGGTGACAAAAAAGATGATAGACACTCCCACCCACCCCTGGGAGCCTTGTGGTAGCTATCCCAGGAGAGAATAAAAGGGCTTATTTGACCTATTTGCTGAGGATTCAGGGTTCTCAGTCACCAGATGACATCACCCAGCAGATAGCAGAGCCGCATCAGGAGCCCCAGGCCTGCTTCCTGCGCCTCGATCCACTTCCTTCCTCCAGGGAGTTCTGTCTGTTCAGATTCCTCTCGGTGGCACAAGACAGCTTCTGCCCTGGTTCAGCCAAGTAGGAACCACCTGTTTCTGGATGGAGGTTTTGCTTTAATTCCACACAGCCAAAGGTCTAAGACAGTGATTCTCAACCTGTGGGTTGAGAGGACCCTTTTGCAGGGGTCGCCTAAGACCATTGAAAAACAGATATTTACATAATGATTCATAACAGTAGCAAAATTACAGTTATGAAGTAGCAAAGAAAATAATTTGGGGAGATGGAGGTTTGAGACAGGGTCTCTCTACATAGTTCTGGCTGTCCTGAAACTCCATTTGTAGACAAGATTGGCCTTGAACTCAGAGATCTGCCTGTCCCTGCCTCCTGAGTACTGGAATTAAACTACACCTGGCTTTAACAAAAATAATTTTATGGTCAGGGGTCATCACAGCATTGAAACTGTATTAAAGGGTTGCAGCATTGGGAGGGTTGAGAACCACTACTTCTAGGAGAAGGAAAGGAAGGCTTCCCAGTCCTTGGCCTGAGTTGGAACCCTGCTCCAGGGAATGATGCTGAGTTTCTGCCCCATTACAGCAGGTAAGCCCCAGCCAGTTCAGTCTCTTCTATCATGCCTTAAACCATATAATGTCTCTTTATTGCTTTTGGTTTTTTAAAGAAAAGATATATTGGACTATATGTATTAATTTTGTGATAGGCAAAGATTTTCCAGTTACATAGAGTATGAAATATTAGAAGGGCAGTGTTTAGGGGTGGTTTTACTTTGTTTTACATCTTATTTGTGTGTGTGTGTGTGTGTGTGTGTGTGTGTGTATGTGTGTGTATTAGAAGACAACTTGCAAGAGCTGGTTTTCTCTACCCAGCATTTGGGTCCAGGGGATTGAACTCAGGTCAGAAAACTTGACAGCAGGAGCCAGCTGAGTCATTTTGTTGGTCCTAGGTTTGTTTGTTTGAAATTCATGTGTGTGTGTGTGTGTGTGTGTACCACAAGTTGGGAGATACCTGCAGTCACCAGAAAATGGCATAGAATCCTCTGAAGCCAGTTACAGGTGGTCGTCAGAATCAAACTCAGGTCCTTTAGAAGAGCAGCAACCACTGACCCTGTAACATGAGGGGCCGGCTTGTTGGGGTTTCTGTCCCACCTGGTACCCCAGAGCCGGCATACCCCAAGGAAAATCACACACAGGACTCCATAAGATTATAAACTGATTGGCCCATTAGGTCAGGCTACTTATTAGCTCTTATAACTTATGTTACCCCATTATTCTAATCTATGTTAGCCTTACATGGCTCAGTACCTTTCTCAGCTGGGCAAGTTACATGCTGCCTCTTGGGTGGTCTGCGCAGGAGTGGCTAAGGGAGTTTCCTCCTCCCTAGCCTTATCCTATTCTCATTGCCCCGCCTCTACTTCCTGTCTGGTTGACCCACCTATACTTCCTGCCTGGCCAATCAGCGTTTTATTAAAATACATGATTGACAGAATACAGACAATTCTCCCGCGCCATGACCCATCCTCCCAAACCCCAGATTTGTTTTATAAATACTACACCATAGTAAAAGGAAAAATATTAGAAAGTTATTCGCAGTCATCCTAAGGGCTAGGCAGCTGGTTCACTTGGTAAGTGGAAGTATAAAGTCTTAGTTATCCTCAGCACCCACATTAAATAATAATAATAATAATAGTAACAATAAACCAGCAGGGCATATAGTACACACCTTTGATCTCAGCACTCTGGAGGCAGAGGCAGATGGATCTCCTTTGGTCTAATAGCAAGTTCTAGGACATCCAGGATTATATAGAGAGACCTTGTCTCAAAATAAATAAACGAAATGAAAAATTAAAAAAAAAACCAAACAGGCACAGCTACCTGTATATCTGTGTAATGCCAGTGCTGGAAAGGTAAGGGCAAGTGGACCCCTGGGGCTTGCTGGCTGATAAGTGTAGCCTAATGGTGTAGCTCTAGGTTTGAGAGACCTTGTCTCGGAAAGTAAGGTGGAGAGAATGACTGAGAAAACTCCAGAGGCCTCCAAACATATGTACCTTCACACCCACGCACACATACTCACGCACAAAGATGACGTTCATAGCCAGACAAGTTGGAAGAGTCATTTGATTCTAAGCTACTCCAGAGACTGCCAGACACATAGAAAGCTTAAGGCCTTCCTGAGCCCAAGAGAGTTCAAAGCCTGCAAGCAACTTCATGAGATCTCGGCTCAAAGTAAAAAACAGAAAAGGGCTGGGCAGTAGTGGCGCACACCTTTAATCCCAGCACTCTGGGAGGCAGAGGCAGACAGATCTCTGAGTTCGAGGCCAGCCTGGTCTACAGAGTGAGTTTCAGGACAACCAGGACTGTTTCACAGAAAATCTTGTTTTGAAAAACAAACAAACAAAAAACAGAAAAGGGGGGCTGGAGAAATGGCTCAGCAGTTAAGAGCACTGACTACTCTTTCAGAGGACCCGGGTTCAAGTCCCAGCACCCACATGGCAGCTCATAACTATCTGAAAATCAAGTTCCAGGGGACCTGACACTTTCACACCAATGCACATAAAATAAAAGATAAATAAATCATAAATTTAAAAAAAAAACAGAAAAGGAAGCAGGGCATAGTGGCTGATGTCTACAATCTGAACAGGTGGAGGCTGAGACAGGAGGGTGGATCAGCCTAGACTACTACATGGAGACCTGCCTCAAAAAAAAAAAAGAAAGAAAAAAGAAAAAGAAAAAAATGATAAAAACACTTAAATCCATAAATTCAACAGTCTATAAACATCACATCTAGTGAGGTGGCACAGGGGTACTTGCTGCAAGCCTGGTAACATGAGTTCCATGCCTGTGCATCCTGATGTAGAACTCTCAGCTACAGCTACCTCTCCAGCGCCATGTCCACCTGCATGCTGCCACGTCCCCCCATGATAATGGACTACACCCCTGAACTGGAAGCCAGGGCTGTTAGACAGAGAAGCCTTGTCTCAAAACACTAAAGTATTACCTTTTCCTTCAAGACAGGGTTTCTTTGTGTAGCCCTGGCTGTCCTGGACCTTGCTCTGTTGACCAGTCTGACCTTGAACTCACAGAGGCCTCTGCCTCTCAAGTGCTAGGATTAAAAGCCTGGGTGGCCACCGCCCAGCTACATTTTAATTTTAAAAACGACCAACAAGTTAAGACCCATCAGAAAGCTGAGTTAAACTCCTGGTACCTGTAATCCCAGCACTTAGGAGGCAGGGATAGGAAAATCCGAAGTGCAAGGTCTTCCTCTGCTATAATGATTCTCAATGGTCCTAACACTGTGATCCTTTAATACAGTTCCTCATATTGTGGTGACCCCCCCCCCAACCATAAGATTGTTTTCGTTGCTACTTCATAGCTATAACTTTTCTACTGTTATGACTAGTCATATAAAAATATCTGATATGTGGAACATCTGATATTCAAACCCTGTAAAAGGAACTTCAGGAGATGGTGACCCACAGGTTGAGAACCACTGCTCTTCTAACAGGAAAAAAAGTGAAAGCGAATTGAGGATGATGGACTTGAAGGGATGGCTCAATGGTCATGAGCACTTGCTTATTCTTTCCAGATCTGAGTTCTGTTACCAGTACCCAAGACTGGTGGTTTATAGCCTCCTGCAACCCTAGTTTCGGGGATCCTGTGCCCTCTTCTGGCCTCTGCAGGCAACCACACACATATGGCATACACATACAAGAACATAAATAAAATAAATCACAGACAAATCATTTTTAAGAGAGTAGTATATCTGTTTTTCTGAAATGCCTTCCCGCTTTATTTCTCAAAGCGAATCTTCCAGTACTTAAGACTCTAACTTGTCTTCTTGCCCGTCTCCTCGAGTAACAACATTCTTAGAAGTCAGAAATATTAGACCCTGCGGATCCCAACATTGGAGCCCGGAGCTCACTGGCGGAGCAGTAATGAATCCCATTAGTTCCGGAGCTCGAGAGCGAAGCCGGAAGGAGTGAAAGAGAGAAGCCTAGCGTGGGTCCACCAGCAGAGCCTGCCAGTGCAAGCGCCCAGGCTGAAACCACGCCCCTTCCATAAGCACCTTCCCGATTCGCTCCTCCTCTTCTGGCCCCGCCTCTGACCTCTGAACGGCCTATGACCACGCCCATTGGGCGTGGCCTCACTGCCCGAAGTCCGAAATCCCGCCAACAATGACTCCGCCCCTCCCGCCGCTGTGCAACCTGGCCCTTTTAGTTCAAGATTCTGTTTACGTCAGTCCGCCTTACGTAGATTTACGTCATCAGTACAAGGCGGAGAGGCGGGAGTTCCGGTCCCGGTGTTAACAGCTTCCGAGAAAAGCCGGAAGAGATCGGACCCTGAATTGCCAGCCCCTCCCCCGACCCCTACGGAAAGACGGGTGCAGAGACTGTCCTGGCGAAGTCAAAACATTTATCCTGGCTTTGTCAGGTGAGACGCACCTTCCCCATCCAGGAACAGGACCGATTCAAACCCCCTTGAATTTCCCATGACTCTCCGCGTCCGCAGGCCCCGCCCCTAGGGCCTCCGCCCCGCCCCGAAGCTTGAGGGGT